TTAAGAGCACGGTTTTCATTCCAGGTGGGTGAAGGGACTTGAGCTGACCTTGTGACAGGCTCTGTCTCAGGTTGAAAAGGACCACTTGGCTGGGAGGGTGAGAAAGCCTGCAGCAGGGCAAAGGGAGCAGGGGGACTGCAGAGACCATCGGGAAGCTGTTGGGATAATGCAGACTTGGCCTTTGGTGGTAGGAGGTGAAGCGGTGAGAAGTGAGAAGATTCTGGAAATATTTTGAAGATCAAGCCAAAAGGATTTCCTGATGAACTGGATATGAGGTGGGGGGGAAGGGAAGAGTCAGGGAAGACCCCAAGTTGCTGGTCTGAGCAACTGGAAGGCTGGAGTTGCAACTAACTGAGATGGGAAAGGCTGCAGGGAAGCAGGAGTTTGCAGGGAAGATTGGGAGTGTGGCTTTAGACTGAGGTTGAGAGCCTTTTAGACATCCACGTGGAAATGGATGCAGAGGTGGTGTATGAGCCTAGAATCTCTGCTGCGAGGAGGCCCAGGCAGAAGGTAGAAGCCTCAGGGCTGTCAGCACACAGGTAGTACCCAGAGCTGCCAGACTAGGCATGGCACGGGAGTGAGAGCATGGAGAAGAGACAGAGGAGCCGGGCCCCGGGGCCCTCTGTGCCAAGAGGCCCTGGAGAAGTAGAGGAACAGGCAAAGGAGACTGAGAAAGCACAGCCAGAGGTGATGTCCCGGAGGAAATAAAGATAACTGCTGAAAGGCCACGAGGCCTGAGGATTAACGGTCAGCTTTAGCCACAGGGAGGTGGTCGGTGGTCCCGACACGAGCAATATTGGTGGAGTGTTTGGAGTGGATTGGGGAGGGCGATCAGAGACAGCATCCTTGCCCCCTGTCCCTCATCCTAAAGGTGCCATGAGGCCATTCGCTGCCGACAGCCAGGGCCGAGGTGTGGGCTATGCCAACCAGTCTGACCAGGCATCACGTCTCCACTGTGCTCCTGCTCTGCCCCGCCCAGGCCGGGCTCTGCTGCCAGTCCACGTCTGCAGAAGACAAACAGGGACAAGGGGGGCCTGGAAGGGGAAGGCAGAGCTACTTAATGACTTCATTTGGCTGCTGTCTTTTCCAGCTGGGAGGTGGTCTACAAAAAGAACATCAGGCAGAGGGAACTGGAAGCTGAGATAGGAGGAGACAGAGATGGAACATGCAGCCTCCGCACGGGATTTCAGATGGCTGGGCCGTACCCTCCCATTGCGCTCCCCGGCACGTGGCCGCTGGCCCGCAGTCGGAAACTGAGGCAAGAGCATGAAAAATGGGAAGGCTCAGAAGGTTTGGGGTGAATGAAAGTCCCAATCTCTAACCCAGGAGAGCACACTCACAGAAACTACATTCTGATAGAGCCTGTAATCAAACTCTACCTTCCATTCTTAAAAGGAACTTAAAAACGAATTAAAACACTTAGGACACTGCCTCAAGCACTCAGTAAACATTGTTAGGATAATAATATATATTATATATATATAGTATATCATATGTTATGTTATCATTATTATTCTGTGAGGCTCCAGTGGTCAAAATTAGGTGCAGTGGGTAGTAGTTGCAGGGACAGATTTCACAGTAACATTAGGAAGACGTTTTCATTCCCAGAACTGTCCCCACAGCACAGAAATGAGCAGCCTGGTAAGATCATGAGTTCCCCTTCATTGGGGGTCCAAGCAGAAGCCGGATAATCTGTCCCAGAGCTGGAAGTTTGGTCTGCCCGCAGCTCTGACCTACTCCTCTGGTAAGCTGACATTTTCAGACTAGTTTGGTCTCTGGCTCTAGCCACTGGTACCAACCACCCCACTGGACCCAGCTCACCTATGTGTTTGTCTGTCCCCCTTGCAAGCCCATGGCTAGCAGGACAGTCCAACCAGCCATCCCTGGGACACACATAAGTTCTCTTTTGTGTAACAACAAAGCATTCTAGGTGTGGAAGCTTTGGAGTTAACTATAGTGTGTGTATACAGCCCAACAATCCAGAAAGGAGAGTATTCCGTCCCATTTTACAGTTTGGAGCACTGAGATTCAGAGAGCAAAGGGTTAGTGAGAGGCAAGCCTCAAAGTCAAGTCTCTAGGCCACCCCATTCCACATGGCAGGCAAAGGGCCAGTCTCCTTGCCAAGCTGTTTCCACCCTTACCCTCACCCTGGCCACTGCTGGTCAGAGGTCTGCACCCTGCTTTGTCCACGTCAGTCCATATGCATCCTCTGAATGGCCCAGGGCAAGTAGGTGACAGCACTCAGTGGAGGTTTCCAGGGCTGTGTTATCTGAGGGCCCAGAGATGTGACACCTTGGGCTAGCAGGACTGCCCCAGCTCAAGGCCACTGGGCCCATCTTTCCAATGCCCTCTCATTGGTGAGATGGGGAGATAGAGGCCCAGAGAGGGGAGGCACTGTGCCCAACGCCACACAGCAAGGAACAGAAACTGGGCTCATGACTTTCAGGGCAGAGCTGTGCTGCCCCACCCTGATGCAAAAGGAAGGGAGGAGGGCAGGAGGGTGTGGTCCAGCTCAGCACTGGCCCCTGCCCAGACAGATGAGCAGAGCTGTCTTCCAGCTCACTGAACCCTCTCTCATTCCTGCGGCCTCCCAGAGCCAGGGATCAATCCCCACCGCATCAGATGCACCTCCCCGTCCGCCCCGCTCTGTGACTGCCAAACACAGCCATAATGGGGCTGAGTCCTGGGAGTTACTCCTGGAGGCCAGTTGATGCCTGCGTTTGCAAAAGACAATCAAGAACCAGAGCCAAAGGTACCTGGAGCAAGGCCTGCTGGAGGGCTCGCTGGGGGCGTCCAGCCCAGGGTGTATCACTGCCAGCACTGGCCCAGCAATAGCCGCCCCTCCCAACCCCGTCACCCTCCCTGCAGCACAGGCACTCAGGGCGGAGCAGGGCAACGCAGGGCCACAGACGGGGTGACGGGGCTGGCGCCGCTCACCTGAGGGGGCCTTCACCTCTCCCCGCCAGCAGCCCCGCTCAGTGAGTGGCTGGCCACACCTCTGCCTCAGGGGCCTGCCTGTCCCAGATATACTGCCTCCACCACAAAGGAATCTCCAGGAGGATGAGGTTCAAACAGACGCTTATAAAAATCAGCCACAGGAAGTAGTGTGTGAAGCAATAGAAAGGACCCGTTCAGGACTCTGCGCAAGAGCCACCACCACCTCCCCCTAAGCTCTCCTGCTTCCTCCTGCTCTGCCCTGCCCCCAGAGGCACGACTCGGCCCCCTTCAGTCCCCACTGGGGCTTAACCAGACAGCCAACCTAGCCTCTATCGCCCGCGACGCTGACTTCTTCATTCCTCGGTCGCGTTCCTCTCTGAATCCACGGCACCCAGGCCTGGCCCAGGGGGCACCCCATCTGCATCTGATAAACTGATGAATGAACTGGAAAGAGCAGAACCCCTAGTGGTGATAAACGCTGCTAACATTCATCTTTTATGGATCCACAGGCACTGGGCACCTCTCTGCTGCCTCCGCGCCAGCCGCACACCAGGTCTGGGCCCGCGGAGGAGCCAGCCACAAACACCATCCCCTGACCCAACTCAGAAGGGAGGAACCGGCTCAGTAGGGTCCCCAAGGGACTGCCGGCCATCCTCTCCACCCCTCAGAAGGTGAGCTAGGCCTCTGGAAGGACATTTCAGAGAGGCAATCTGCCTCCTTCCTGGACACTTCAAACACCCAGATGCCCAAACACCAATCCCCAAATCCAGCCTCACGACGCTGAAGCATGGGGCTGCTAATCGTCAAAAGAGTGGCCACTTTCTACACAGTGGGTCCCCACAGCCCTAGACGGTGTCACTGGGCCATGGGGCCAATCCCCACAATAGTCAGAATACCTGCTGTGCCCAGCACCTACCCACACAAGAAGGAAGAGTGGAAGGAAAGACCTCTGCAGGGGGCTTCTCATGCGCCCCTGCAAACAGCAGGGGAGAGTCTGGGGCCCACTAAGGCTCCCCTCTTCAAGCAGAGATTTTCTTTGAAGAATTTTGCATCTATGTTTGGTCTTACACTATGAAAGAGTGCTTGAAATGACCTATTAGTTAAGCATCTTCACAGCCCTCCCCTCTCCAAGCCATCCTGCTTCATTTTCAGGTGCAAGTGATGCTCCAGAAAGACGCACCGTGCCGGCTGCCGGCGCGCGCTGCTCCTGGCCCACAGCCCCACCCTGACACCCATGAAGCAGGCAGACCTGAGTGTAGGAAGCCCCAGATTACAAGCGCTTTCTCTAAAATGACACGGACGAGAATGAGAGGACACAAGAGGGAGTGCTGGTGGAGGTGAGTGGCACCTCCTGGCGCTGTTTTCCTCCATGCTCACAAGAACTAGTGCCTTCCCGTCAGCACAGCTGCAAGATGGGTTTGTTCAATTCAACCCCATTTCCTGAGAAGCTTCAGGGTCCCTAGAGCTGAGCTAAGGCCATGGGGCTATGCGTGCCGGCCTCCAGCTGCAGATGTAGGAGCCAGGCCCTCGGGAGGGGCTCGTGAGGATAGACCTGGGTGATGAGGTGACTCAAGCTGGGGGCGGGTGGTGAGAAGCGGGTACCAGGATGCTCGTGATCACTTCCTAGATAATTTTTTTTTCTAATGACAAAAAAACAGGCATACTCAGTGCAGAAAACTCAGTAATCACGGAAAAGTACAAAAGGCTACAAAACAAACTCTACAAGAGCTTTCATCTTCAAATTTTCACAAGGAAGAGGAACGAGGCATTTTGTAGGACAAAATTAGTGCGGAAGTGAAAGTCAAGCAACTTGGGCTCAATGTGATAAACTCTTTGACACTGAGAACTCCTCTCTTTTGGAATAGGCCACCACAGGAAGTAATGAGTGTCCCATCCCTGGAGGCAACCAAGCAGAGGCCACACGAACACCCATCCAGGACCCCATGGAAGAGTTTCCAATAACAGGGGGAAGATCAGCTCAATCTCTAAGATTCCTTTCACTTGTGGGAAAGGAGCCCACCTCACGCCACCCAGCCTGCCCACCAGCCCTTGCGCCAACTCACCCACAGGCGTATCCTCGCTGATCAGCAGGTATGTTTCAAAGAAGTGGTTGATGAAGAAGGGCAGTCGGTTCACCTGGCCTGGAAGTTAGAGGACAAGAGCATCAGTCAAGTACCCTCGTGCCAGCTCCATGCGTTCTGCAAGGGGCACAGAGTAGGGGCTCCAGTGGGCACTGAACCTGCATCCAGTGCTGAAGACACCTTTCCAGGACCTTGGCAGCTCGCTGTTCTGCCTCGAGGCCTACGGGGAGTAACGCCAGTAGGCAGGCAGAAGGCTGTCAGGTCGTTCGCTCAGCGAGGCCACGAGCCACGTGTGGCTATTGAGACCTGGTCCACGCTAGGATGTGCTGACGTGTAAAATACACACAGGACTTTGAAGCTGTTGTACAAAAAAGTGGGTGTGAAATATCTCATTCGTCTTTTATACTGATGACGTGGAAATGATAAGATTGTAGCTATACTGGATTAAGTCAAATACATTATTAAAATGAGTTTCACCTGTTTCTGTTCTAATGCGCCTCTTAGAAAATTTAAGACCACACATGCGGCTCACATTGTATGTCTACTGGGCCTCCCAGCTGTAGATAGACTGGGAGCTTGGCAAGGACAAGGGCTGTCTGCTGTGTTAAGTGCTGCAACCCTGGTGCCCAGAACAGGACTTGGCACTTAGAAGGCCCTCAGCAGCTATTTGTTGTGTGAAGGAGTGGCCAGCTGATGCCACGTGATTAATAACAACAATAACAACAATGATAATAGCTGCCATCTATGGAAGCCTCCTCCGTACCAGCCGCTTACACCATCTCCACCAATCCTCATGGTCCAACATGTGCTGTCACGTCTGCATGTTACTACTGAGGAAAATGAGGCTTTGAGGGGGTAACTAGTAACTTGCCCAGGGTCACACAGCTGGTAAGTGTGGCATGGGCCGTACTGGAACCCAGACCTGGAAGCCTGTGCAGGTAACCCTGTACCACTCTGTGACAGCCTCAGGTTGGAGGCTGGCTCTGGAAGGGGACAGCGTGATACCGTCATGGGCTGAGGAATTTCATATCTATGAAGAGTCCCCCATATCACAAGTCCCTCCCACAAAGCCTCCCCAAGGCTGGCTTCCTCTGTCCCCTGAGCAACCCCCCAGAGGCCTTCAGTAGTATGGTATAATATGAAATGTATTTGGTCTCTGCCCCCAGCTCCTGGCACAGAGCTTCAAAACTCCTTGCAATTTCCAGAGTGACAGGAGTGTCTTTTGTTATATCCATAAGGAGCCCCCTTGACCACACCCACGTTTATGCCAATGAGGTGATTTATTTTTATCTTTAAATTTTTAAAAAAATTTTTATTGAAGTATAGTTAATTTATAATGTTGTGTTAATTTCTGGTGTACAGCAAAGTGACTCAGTTATACATACATATAAATATATTATTTTTCATATTCTTTTCCACTATATATAGTTTATTAAAAGAGAGTAAACATAGTTCCCTGTGCTCTACAGTAGGACCTTGTTTATTTTATATATAGTAGTTTGTATCTGCTAATCCCAAACTCCTAATTCCCCAGCCCCTCCTTTCCCCTTTGGTAACCATAAGTTTGTTTTCTATGTCCATGAGTCTGTTTCCGTTTTGTAGATAAGTTCATTTGTGTCATATTTTAGATTCCACATATAAGCAATACCATTGGTATCTGTCTTTCTCTGTTTGACTGACTTCACTTAGTATGATAATCTCTAGGTCCATCCATGTAGCTGCAAATGGCATTATTTCATTCTTTTTTATGGCTGAGTAGTATCCCATTGCGTATACATGCCACATCTTCTTTACGCCTTCATATGTTGATAGACATTTACGTTGCTTCCATGTCTTGGTTATTGTAAATAGTGCTGCTATGAACACTGGGGTGCATGTATCTTTTCAAATTAGAGTTTTCTCTGGATATATGGCCAGGAGTGGGATTGCTGGATCATATGGTAACTCTATTTTTAGTTTTTTAAGGAACCTCCATACCGTTCTTTGCAGTAGCTGCACCAATTCACATTCCCACCAACAGGGTAAGAGGGTTCCCTTTTCCCGGTGAGGAGACTTAGAGTGGGGCCTCTACAGAGAGCCTCAGAAAGGGGCTGATCCCCGGGAAGACCAAGTGATAAGATGGGGAACTTTCAGCCCACCTCCGACCTCTAGGGAGGGGAGGGGAGCTGGAGATTTCCAATATTTGATGAGCTCCCAAGTTGGTGAACACATCTGTGTGCTGGGAGGACGGCACACCTGGAGAGGCATGGAAGCCCCACCCGACCCCACCTCCCCCATAGCTTGCCCTGTGCATCTCTGCCATCTGGCTGTTCCTGAGTTGTATCCTTTATATTCAACCAGTAAATGTAAGTAAAGTATTTCCCTGAGTTCTGTGAGTCATTCTAGCTAACTGAACCTGAGAAAGGGTAGTAGGAAGCCCTGATTTATAGCCAGTTGGTCAGAAGTACAGGTGGCCTGGGACTCACCACTGGCGTCTAGAGTAGAGCTGAACCCTTAAATCTGTGGAATCTGGCACTAACTCTGGGTAGACAGCATCAGAATTGAACTGAATTGTTGGACACACAGTCGGTGTCTGGAGAGTTGGAGAACTGGTTGTTGGTATTGGAAAACACCCCAGAAGGAGGCAAACGAGGGCACTTCCCCCTCTGCCCCTACCAACCAGGGATGGGGGGGTTGGTCAGTCTCACATGGGGCCGACATCGTGCAGCACACACGTAAGCAGCTCCTGCTGGGTCTTCCAGGGGCCCTGAACATGGGTGGGCTGCAGCCCCCCCCTCCCTCATTTCTGCTGCCCTGGCTCCCTCAGAGCTTGGGCCAGGCTCAAGAACACAGAGGCTAGTACTTCCCTCATTGCTGGAGATCTCCTAGTGGGGAGCAGGCAGAACTAATGGAATCTCCACCCCCACCCCCTCTGCTCAGGCACCCAAGCTGATGTCATTTCTGGTTCTGCAAGCACTGTAGCCTCTCTCTCCCCTCCTGGCCAGGACTGCTGGCCCTTTTGCCTTCACTTGCCAAATTCCTATTTATCCTTCAAGTTTTGCCTTAGATGTCCCTTCTTCCAGGAAGCCCTCCCTGACCACCACAACTACACATATGCACTTGCCTACACACTTCCACCCTCTCATATGAGGAACCTGGGGCTCCTCACACACTCAAGAGCCTCAGAAAGGCTCAGAGGCCAGTGGTCAAGGGCTTCACCTTTGTTTGTAGTCTCCCTGTGCCTCTTTCTAGTCATATGACCTCCCCATGCCTCAGTTTACTCAGGTGTAAAATAACAATAACAACAGGACTTACTTCTTAGCTGTGTTGAGTATTAAATGAGATTACATACATAAAGCACTTAGCGCCATGCTCCCGCACACAGCAAGCACTCGATAAATGGTAGCTATTATTAATATTGGTATTAATGACAGTGCTGCCTGCTCAGCCAGAGGCGGAGGCTTTGGATCCCGGCTGGGGGCTTTGGGCTCCCTTACAGAAAGCAGCTGAGCCAGAGTAGAAGGCTCAGGGGCGACCAGGGAATTCGGCATGGGCTCAGGCTGGGGCAAGGGGAGGGAAACCAGCCAGAAAAAACGTCACCTGCAGCAGCATCGTTCGTTTTCAAACTTTGTTTTACAGGACCTGCCGATAATGAGGCACTGAGAGCTCCGCACGGGTGGCTGGGCAGAGCCTCGGGGACGTACGTCGCCTGCCACATACCAAGCAGGACCGTGATCTGGGAACAGGCTCCCACCCTAGGAAGCCCAGTGGCCTTGGGCTGCCAGTGGGGACTGGGAGGGTGGTGGGAGGGTGGGAAAGGGGGGTGCCCACAGGTCGCCTGTTCCCTTAAAAGACACTTTTAAGGCATGAAGGCTGTGTCCTCCAGAGGTAAAGTGCTGCCTCAGGAGCTTTGAGGCCTCCAGCCAAGTGGGAACGTGAGTGCCCGTGCGAGGGGAGGACTTCTGTGAAGGAACGAGAGTCCAGCTGCCCGTGCCCACGATGCACCCCTCTATCCCCGCCCCACACATGCTCATTCCCTGCTTTGGCACCTACTGTGTGTTCTGCCCCGGATGCCTTCTCCCTGCGTCCCTGGCCCACTCACACTTATCCTTCCCTACAAACTAGATGCGGGTCCACCAGCTCTAAGTATTTATTTCAACACTGCTGTGGCCTCTCCTGTTGCGGAGCACAGGCTGCGGACGCGCAGGCTCAGTGGCCACGGCTCACGGGCCCAGCCGCTCCACAGCATGTGGGATCTTCCCGGACTGGGGCACGAACCCACGTCCCCTGCATCGGCAGGCGGACTCTCAACCACTACGCCACCAGGGAAGCCCAAGAATCAAGCTTTTAACCACCACAGGCCTGAGGGGAGAAGGGAGAGGGGGAGGCTCACACAGAAGGCAGATTCGAGCCGCGGTGCTGGATGACGGGCCTTCCACACGCGGCGAGGAAGGGAAAGATCCCAGAAGGAAGCAAAGCTGGGCAGATGTGGAGGAGCGGAGCCGTCCAGGCACGTGACGTGGGAAGGACAAGGCATCCACCAGACCAGGAAGCACAGACTTCACTCAGAACCGTGGGATGGGGCAGGGGATTCCTCTTAGGGCTTGAAGGACACTGGCAAGTGGCAGAGCCTGGACTGGAACCAGGAAGGCCCAACCCCAGCCCAGGCCCACCTGCCCAGGCCTCTGAAGGCACAGTGGTTCTCACTGAGGGCCATGTTGGGCACAGCCCTAGACCCCGCCCTCAACTCATGACAGGGAAGGTGCACAGGACAGGGAGCACAGCGCGGTGACCAGGTGAGGCCTTGTACGCCCTGCCACTCGCTGCTGTGCGGCCTGGGCAAATCGCTCTACCTCTCTGGCCACCGTTTCCCAGCCTCAAGATGAAGACAAAGAGCCCTCGCTGCCCTCTCACCCTGCCTCCCTGCCAGAGGTGTCCTGTGCACGGCGTCGCTGTTATAATGGCTGCTGCAATTTGGATGCGTGAGCCGCCTGGATCTAGAGAGCTCCAGGGGAGACTGCGCCTCTTCTACGAAGGCAGCCAAGCTGTTAGCACCTGTTATATTTCTTTTTAATGGGGAGGGCGGGGGAGGGCATGAGTGTCCAAGGTCACAGAGTCCCTGAGGAGTCTGAGGACACCAACAAGCAAACCCAGAGGGTCAGAGCTGAGGGTCTCGGGTGCCCCTCACTGAGCCCTCCCCGAATGGGGCTTTACAAAGGAGAAACTTGACACCTGGAGCAGCAGCTGGCCCAGGGGTGGAAAGAGGGTCTGAGACCCCTTGTGGCTCTGCCTCTGAGAGTCTTTGAGGCTGCGCTGCTTGGATGGGAGTGAGCTCCCCGTCACAGGGGCATCCCAGCAGAGATCCCTCCCAGCAGGGAAGCCAGGGGACTCTCAGGCAGCAGGATGCCAGCAGCAGTCCACCAAGCATGAAGCTCTGGTCTCCTCCAGAGGCTTCCGGTTCCCTGGAGTGAGAGAAGGAGCTGACGCCCCTCAGGAATATGTTTGCCTGTGTCGCCAGGCACGCTCTGCCCATAGCTCTTCCCTGAGGACACCCTGGTCCCGCGGGACACCGAGCCAGCTGTGCCTGCTGTCCTGGCCTTCCTTCGTGCACACCAGAGCTGCTTTGCTCCCGGTGTCCAGGAGAGGCAAATGCCCAGGCCTTTCCTGGCCTCCTCCGTGGGCACTACAGCTGGCACTGACCTGGCTGCTGCAAGGCCGGGGGAAGGAGGGCTGCCCGCCCTGCAGAGAAGGAAGACTCCTGGCAGCCGCACCCTCGCTCAAACTATTCCCTCCTCCAGGATTCCCTTCTTCTCTCTCCCCCCTTTAAAACGACTTCTCAGTCTTCAGAGCCCAGATGAAACGTCTCCCTTCTGGCTGGGTCTCTCCTGTGCCCGCAAGTTCAATTAATCTTTTCTTCTGATGGGCTTCTCTGGAGCTCTGTACATCCTTTATTACCACTTTATCCACCCTGCTTAGAGCAATCCTATCTGTGTCTTCCTCCCTGGTGAGCCCCTGAGCGCCCGAGAATGTCATTTCTTCCATACCCCCAGAATTGGACACAGTAGGGCACAGTGTCACACAGTAGGTGCTCAAAAGACAACTGTGAAACAGACTAGAACTGGGGCCAGTCCCCACATCCCAGAAGAAGGACAGTTCACGGCCATAGATGCCTCCCCTTAGAGCTCAAGTATTTCTCAAGTCTCCTCCCCTTCCCTCATGTGTCCCAGGCCCTGGAGAGGGCTGGTATTTTCAGCCCTGTGAGGGCTGCAGAAGCAACTGAGGCCCAGAGAGGGAAGTGAGTGCCCAGTCACACACACGGCAAGGCAGGGTCTTGAGAGTCCCAGAGCACAAACGCCAACCACACACCGCCCAGCCCGGCCTCCCATGCTCGCTGTGGGGAGAGAAGGCGGAGGACTGAACTTACCACAGCATCCAGAGATCAGCACAGACAGCCAGACCACGAGGCAGCTGGAAGCGACGTGGCACCTCATGGCTCCTGGGGACAATAGGAGGGGAGGGTGAGAAACGTCCTATTGGAGCGCCTGCTCTTGCAGGCTGTGCAGCACTGCCTCAGCCCTGCAGCTCGGGGAGAATTGGGCCTGAGAAGGGAGGAGAATCGGTGCAGACGGGGCCGGGGGTGGGGGGCACATGGGGAAGAAGAGAGGGTCTGTACCCTGGGGTTCTGTCATCGTCCAGTGCTGAGAGTGGTGTGGCACGACTGGGCTGAGGGCATGGGCAACGGTCCCCTCTGTGCCCTCGTAGAGGCCGACTGCACGGCTTGTGGGCAGGGCTCAGGGGGCACAGGGACAGGTTTCTGACACATGCGGGGCTCAGTGGGCAGAGGGAGGGGCTGCTGCCTCTATCCTCCAGGACAGCATACCCCGAGGGCGGTGGAACCTGGTTTAGTGGGGACAGAGTTAGGAGGCGGGTGCTGACACCCCCCCAGCCAAAGTGCCCAATGAACATGTCTTTTCCTGTTTTTATATCTGCAGTATCATCTCATAACCTGGGATATGAAAGCAGCCCCCAGGCCATGGCGTCCAAAGAGGCACAGAGAAGGGAGGTAACCTGACCAGGGCCCCCCAGCAAGTCTGTGGAAAGCTGGAGCCGGACTTCTGTCTCTAGCTAAGCTCTAGAGAGAGCTGGGGTCCAGCTGCCAGAGGCTTAGCAAAGCAAGCTCTCATCTCTAAGTGTAGTGGGGCGGGGGTAGCGGGTGGGCGGCGGGAGGGCTGCTCCCTCCCATCGCGGCCGTGGCCTGCCCGGTCCCCTTACAGCAGGGTCACGGCCCTCTGGTTCCTTCTTACGCCCGCAGCGGCTCCGAAGCAGGCCTCCCTGGAGACCAGCAGTGACACCGGGAAGGGCCCACGCTCCTCAGCTGGGGATCCCTGCCTTCCGCTAACGCTGTCTCACCTCCGTGTCTCAGCTCGCGGCCCCCTCACCTCTGCATCCCCACGGCCTAGCCAAGGGCCCACATGTCCTCCTTCAGGGAGCACCTACTGTGCACCTCGCCTGGGAGACATTAGCCTCCCCGGTTCACAAGGTGAGGTCTGAAGGCCAAGAGCCGTTAAACAATTTGCTCAGAGAGCCCCAACTAGCGAGTGGTGGGGTCAGCATCTGGACCCAAGTTGACATGCCACCTCCCTCATCGTTAAATGATCAGGAAAGCCTTGGGGAGGAGAAGGGAGTTGAAGAAAAGGGTTTTGTGGAGAGACTTCACATCTCTGCAAGACCTCGGGGCAAGGGCTTCAGAAAGGGCCCAGGGCTCAGATCTCTCGGTTCCGGACCTGGAGCCAACTCCCCCTCCCAGCCGGGTGCCAAGTGGAGGATGGATCCTGTCCCACACCGCACACAATGGCCCGCGGTGCCCTCGTGTTTTCCTTGAATACTGTACTTAAAATGTTCTAATTACCAAGTATGAAACAGTGACGTGGGAAGTAAAAGATTCTAAGATGTTGTCACATAATAAAAGACAAATGCCCATCATATCCCTGTATTTCCACCCCTTTGCGTTTCCAGAGGTCAGCAGCCTATCACAGGGGCAGGCAGGGCATACAAATGAGGAGACCCCAGTGGTGGGAATGATGGCCATTTGGAGGCCAACACTCTGTCCAAAGGCAGCAGCTGCTGATGTATTTCAGCCAAGAGGGAATGTGGGTGCCGTGTGCCCAGAGCTTCTGATTTTTCTCAATGAAAAGCTGGAAGTTTGGTTTTTACTATGAATTCAATTTTTAAATGTTGGCAAATAATTCCATTTTCGTGAGCCAAACATGACCTCTCTGATGGCCAGAGTGGGCAGCTTGGGCCTGGCGTGCACCCTACGAGGCCCTTCTCCACACCCAAGCAGATGTGTTCACGTTACAAAGGCGTACGAGTGGTGTGGTTGCTGTTTCTCCTTAGGATGATGAAGTTACCCTCTACACAAAGGAAACTCACTTTTCTCATGTCATAATAATTCACAGACAGCCCTCCAGGTCAACACTGCCACATCCACCTCCTCCATTTTCAGAGCTAGATAACAGTTCATGGTATGGACGTTTCATCATGGAGACAAACATCCCCTATTGTTGGGTATGTGAGTGTTTACAGGTTCTTGCCACACAGGCAATGTCACCGTGGACATCTCTCTGCATGTAACTGTGTTGGGACTTTGCTCTCAATCTTGGTTCTCCAACAGCGGCATTAATGGGCCAATTAAATACAACACAGAGCACGTCTGTAAACTTTTCTTCGCCACTGTCATATTACCTTCTGTAAAGACTGTGGCAATTCCCACTCCATCCAGAAGTGTATGAGAGGGCCTCTGCGCCCACCTGGAAGTGATCCCTCTTTTAAATGGCTTCCAATTGGAAGCATGAGAAATGGAATGGCCTTGTTGTTTTAATTTGCATTTCCCTAACTACCAGTGAGGTTGAGCATGACGCCTTTTTCTAACTGTTCAAACCACTTTCCATCTGTTATCTTGCGTTAGCCTACCGTATGCTGCAATGAAGCTAGCCAGCACCACAAGCATTATCCCTGATTTACAAGAGGAGAAACCGAGGCACAGAGCAATTAAGTGACACTCTGACATCTCATAGTGAGTGAGTGTCTTTTATAAAAAATCTCCAGCCCTCTGCCTTTGGAAACCAGCTGTTATGAGAATTAAACAACATCTGCTAAGAAGATCGTCCACAAATAGCTGGGAGTGCACACCGTTCTGCTGGGTGTTGCAGGAAGTCTGCAGCGGAAGAAAGGAAGGAAGAAAGTGAACACTTACTAGGCAACTCCCACAAGCCTGGGATTTTCACAGGTATGACTTTATTCAAGCTTCCCAAATATCTCTAAAATGTGGTTATTCTTGTCCCCATTTTACAGATGAGGAAATTAAGGCTCAGAGAGGTCACCTAGGATTGGACCTGAGTCCCACGCTATTTCCATCACACCATGCTGCTGTCCACCCCCACCCTGCCCACCCCCTTTCCTAATCTATGAAAGGGGAAGGCGTGGCCCCTCCCTCAAGGAGGACAGTACACAACACAATAGACACAGGATGAATGTGACACAAAGTGAGCGTGTGTGCACAACACACACGAGTGCATGATGCATCTCACTTTCCACGAGCTGGCTCAGGCTCGACGCTGCTGGGCGCACTGTCCCCATCCTCTCTCCTTAAATGTCTGTTTCCCCTTCAGAGGCACTCACACTGCCTCAGTGCCCCCCTTCTGTCAGTCAAGGGCAGCCAAACACAGCCCTCATTTGACGGGATTGGCAGAGGCCACCTCTGGAGCATCCAACAGCAGGGATGATCTTTGTTCCATCCTGGCTCTCCATCCTTGCCTTGGGGCAAGGTGGCACAGACACTAGGTCGAGGGGACACAGGCTCCAAAGAGTGAAGCAGAGTGGGCAGGACCAAGTGGGTCCATCCTACTACTGGGTTTTCCCGGAGATCCCAGATCTTATTCTTCCTCTGGTCCCTCTGGCCAAGAGGAGGAAAGCAAGGTCCAGAGAGAACAGAGGCTAGTGGCAATGGGAAGAGGCCCGTGGGCCCCAACCTCCATGCCAGGTGTTGCGATACATGCTGCCTTTGCCTGCCGGCATTTCCTAGGTGCCGGGGCTGCAGCGAGTGGCACGGTCCCCCGGCATTGCCTGACCTCGCTCCGCCCTGTGAAACAGCTGTTCTCCCAGCCTCCAGGCCTTCCCATCTCCTGGCCAGCAGAGCTCCATGGCCTTCTCTACCATGCAAGGCTGTGCCACCCTCAGGATTCAGCCTGAGCTCCCACTGACCCTCACCTGTCCCCACTGGACCAGGAAACATAGACACACACCCTTCTGTGCTGGGCTTCCTGTCCGGCCTGGTATAAGTCCCAGAGGTACAAGCAGGGTTAGAGCCGGCTGTCCCAAAACCCATTCTCACAGGAAGCTTTCCAGAAATCTCTCAAACATACCCAAAGCCAGGACCCAAAGCCCTCAGGCTGCCAATTTCCACATCCGTTTTCATGCCAAGCCCTGAACCAGGCACTGTGGGAGGGATACAGGGTCATGAGAAAGGTTGGTAGTGCATGTGAGATATCAAAAAGCAACTGTGCCTGTCACTGCCCAGGCCCATGCAAAGAGAGAACTCCTGAGCCTTCTAGGGGAGCCGAGATGTGAGCTGCACAGAGTTCAGGGATGCATACTGCTAACACTTACTGAGCACACAGTACACGCCAGACACCGTGGCGTGTAGTGTGTCCTACATGCTGGGGCTTGGAGAGGTTAAACCACTTGCCCAAGGTCACACAGCCAGTAAGTGCTCAAGCCCAAGGTCTCCCAGCCTCAGCCCCAACCCTTGCTGAGCTCAGACATGTGCCCCAGGGCAGGCCCACACTGAGGACCTGGTGGGAAGGCCCTGGGCAGGACCCTGCATCTACTCAGAGGCTATTAAGCCAGACCTGGGTGAGAATACGACATGCTCCACAGCCACGGTATACAGGAGCCAGCAGCAGGGCCAAGTGCGTGCGCCAGGAGAAGAGGCACAACCAGGGCTGCCGAGCTGCCTCCTGTTCAGTCTGCCCTTCCACGCTGACGTCTGACAGGCACTGCCCCTGGAACCAGTACCAATAAGACAGTGCACGCACCGTCAGGGCTGACCAAGTCCTCCCTCCGCACCCCCCACGCCTCCTCCAGCACCATCCCCTAGAGGTTCACACCTTTGTCCCTGGAGGGAGCAGACTACAGAATTTCCCAGATTCAAGGCAGCAACCCTGCCCACACTGGCCTTCACCTTGTCCTGTCATCAGCCCAGAACGACCTGCTGCTCATGGAGGCCTGGGCTGAGGGCCAGCAGGGGAGGCTCTTACAGCATCCCGGGACTCACCCCCACATAGGAATCACCTCCTCCCCAAATAAAATCAAAGCCTCCACCTACACCTGAGAGAGCTTATGAGCTACACGGAGAGGTGTGGCCCCATTGCACATGTCTGCCCCGACATCACCGGTTGTGGGCCAGGCACTGCGCTAGACAGCGGCCTAGAGAAG